TTTCTAAAACAAAGTGGCAAAATTGAAATACCTATTGTCTATTCAAAATTGATTTTCAAAACAAACTAAACAGAAAAATGTGCGTCTTGAAAAAGTCTACAAAATGATGGAACATTGAAAATTTGTCTATAAAGCTATCCATACAAAACCAGAACACAATATTTCAAGTACACGTTCTGGACATGTCTCTCGTGTTTTACCTAGACAACCCATAACTTCCTTACGGACTTATAAGAAAATGTAATGTTCTGCTTTTTTTTGTCCTATACCACGCATTCTATTCTAGAAACCTGTCAAAAATCCGGAAGTGTTGAGTAGCATTTTCGCCAAGGAATCAAAATGAAATTGGAAAATTTAGAACTACAAAGAGTTTGAAAAACCGATGAATTAGCTCAAAAAAAGGGTGGCAAATTGTATTTATTCAAAATTCTAGCCCGCAAAAAATTCAAGGTTTTTGAATCTTAAGTTTGGCAGGTGCGAAAACTAAAAAAAACCAAATGCCTGCAATTTTCTATTCATTTTGAGCTGTTTGAAAAATTAGGTTGACAGGGTGAAAAACCAAAAATCTGGAAGTTTTGCTTCCAGTTTTAAAGGTTCATGACTTTTTTTAAAAAACTATTTTCCAATTTAGAATATAATATCAGCCTGTAGGAAGCTGAAAATACCACAGACTGTTATAAGTGTTAACTTCATATTTGAAAATTTTTTGAAATTCTTCCTTTTGTATCTTGAAAAACTGGAAAAAAGAAAAGTGAACTGAAGTTTCTTTCAGAAAAAAAACTAAATTTCCGCTCCTCCAGAAGCGAAAATTCAAAGAAAAGCTAGAACAAAAAACCATGACTCACATTTTTACCTTTTTTTTTTGAAAGAAAAGGAAAAATCATGAAAAAATAATGAAAGGTTCTTACAAAATAGGAACAATTTTGTAGTAAAAAAAATTCAAAAAGCCCAGTTCGGTCCAGAATTCGTCACCAAAAAAATAAGAAGAATCAATTCTAGTATAAAATTATGGGAAAAAAAAGAAAAAAGTGGAAGAGATTCACATTTTTCCAAGCGTCATAGATTTTTTTCTTGGAAATCTCGAAAAAATAGAACCCCTTGAAAAGGATGGAAAACAGAAATTTTGCTAGAATAAAGTTCCAGTACCTTATTTTGAAAATAATTTTAATAGTCATATACTTTAAGGGCAAAATCCCATTTTTTTGAATTATGGAGTTTTGGAATTATGGAGTTTTGGAATTTCTGAATTTCTGAATTTCTGAATTTCTGAATTTCTGAATTTCTGAATTTCTGAATTTCTGAATTTCTGAATTTCTGAATTTCTGAATTTCTGAATTTCTGAATTTCTGAATTTCTGAATTTCTGAATTTCTGAATTTCTGAATTTCTGAATTTCTGAATTTCTGAATTTCTGAATTTCTGAATTTCTGAATTTCTGAATTTCT